TAGACCCACGTCAGATCGTGTCTCTGGAGAGAGGCTATATCCTTTTCTGTGTTTGTACAAGGCCTGACAAAACATGGCCTTTACTGAAGCCTCTAGTCACAACTGTAATTAAAAACAACCAATGATGATAACTAATAATTAAACTCAGATTCCTACTGGAGTCTGATCAGAACTGTCTATTGACGGTGATGGTGTTGAACTCCATCAAATTCAACTCCAGCATTGAATTTGGCCCTTGATTTTAGTTGTTTTTGGAGGTAACAATTTGCGTCTGACTGGATAATATACGCCAGGCTACATCTATTTAATGTCTCAGGGAGTTACACTTGTTTATACCAGAGGCAGACTTTGGCTCATTAGAGCATCAATCACAGCCACTAAATTCTAGACTTCCTCTTTCAGGCTCAGCTATATGGAGCTAGAAAAATAAAAAAAGGGAAAAACACTAATTACAAATCCTGGTGAGTTTATTCCATGGGATGGCTGACGATCCCGTGCTTTGAAGCTGTCAATTTTCTTTAACAATCCTATTTCTTGGAGACAATCGTGCTCTTTGCCCATTGGATGGGAACATGCTAAACGAATGCACTACGTCCTTTTATCCCTGAGTCATAGCTGGGAAAATTATTGCTCTAAATAAAAAGAAAACAGACAGTTCACGTAAACTGTTACCAAGTGGCTAGACCTTTTCCTCTTATGTTACCCAAGTAATGGAAGGAAAAACCTAATCAAAATAAGACATCAGAAAAGATTTCACAATGTGTTAAATATGCAGCTGCATAGAGAAGGGATTTTTACAGGTCAGCTTATAAAAAGGGATTGCTGTCCTTTGAGGAAAAGACTTGGGCCAAGCTTGTCTGGAAGTGACAAATGATTTTGGATATCCAGACACTTTGAAGTCATTCAACTTTCAGAAAGTGCTGAGAGCCCAGGTTTTTAAATAATCCTCTGTAACGGAGAACTCTCAAATGGCAGGTAGTGTTTCAAACTTTCTGTAAACCAGGGTGTCAAACTCACCTCCTGCTCCAGGCCAGATCTGGACCCCAGGGCTTCTTGCAGGCTGGATCCAGCCCAGGGCATTGGGTGGCTCTGACGGCGGTAGTGGCAGCTCTGGCCCCTATTCCAGCTCCTGCCATGTGCTATGTGCCCTGTGCCAGAGCTGGAGTTGCTGCTGTCACCATATGTTTCATGCCAGGGCTGCAGCTCAGGCACAGAGCTCATAGTGGTGGTGGTGGCAGCAGCCGTGGTTCTGGCATGGAGTAGAGTGCACAATGCTGGCTCCAGCTCCAGCGTGGGACATGCAGCTGCGGCATGGAGCATGGAGCAAAGGGTGCTGGCTTGGACTCTGACTCACCCATGGGACACAGGACATGCAGCTGCGGTGTGGAGCACATGATACCAGCCCCAGCACGAAGCATGTGATGGTGGCAGCAGCAGCAACAGGTGGTGAGGCTGGTAGCTGACCACAGGTGAAGCAACCAGAGGGCAACCAGAGCCATGTCAGCCCTCACTTGCCCATCTGCCATGGACTGCAACGTCGACCAACGCCCAAGGGCCCCAGATTCTGCAGCAGGACACTCGGTGCTGGCCATGCTCCCCCCCAGCTTCTGGTGGCCATTCAGTAGCATGGTGGGCCACATAGAGCAGTGCAGGATCTGGCCTATGGGCCATATGTTCAACACCTCTGCTATGAAACACTCTACAGGACTTTTTTAGAATGGAAATTTTTTAGGATCCCTTTTTTTTTGCTTTGAAAATTAATGCCTAATATCTTTCTTGTATACCTCAGCCCATTATTGTATTCTGCAGGCATTTGAAGTACATGTGAAGGGAACTCATGGGCATGTTTTATGCCCATAGCCAACAAGGCAGTTGCAGTGTTACACTGAAGGCCGAACTGCACTGATTTCACTATAGCACGTGGTGAGCTGAGTCTAACGAAGATGAGCAACGCTTAAAATATCAAAATGCAGCTACATTAAGGGCAGCTGTATCTAAGGCAACAAAGCCTATCACATGTATCTGGATGAAAATTTCACAGTGGAAAATATAAATAATTTGACAGTTTGCTAATTCTGATAGTTGGAGGTAGGGGAAAGAAATCACTCATTAACTAGTTCTCAATAAGTTATCTTATCTCGACAAGTATGTAAGGAGCAGAAAAAACAATCAGTTCTTTCCTTGTGAAGAACAACAGGAAAGTATTCATCTCTTCAAAGGAGAAAAAAGAAAAATAAAATCTCTTTAAATTAGTAAAGAAGTCTTATTGCAAGCAAAGTTAGAATAATATGGCATAACTGCAAAACAGGATCTTTTCTTTTCATTCTTAGTGAGGATAAGATGTTTTGCTGTGGAAAATTATTTTAAAAAGGACTGGAATGGTAACAATCTGTTAAAAGCAGCATACCTTGAATTTGCAGAGTGTTACCAGTGTAACGGTAAAGGTAACCACAAACAGTACTGGTTATATCCACTGAGCATCTGGCCTCTGTGCATTTAGGTAGAAGCAATCTCTTGTTGAAGTCAGTGACATAATTAAAACAGAATCAGGGCTCTCCCCCACAAACCCTGCTCTTATGAGCTGTCCCACTGAAGTCAGTGGGAAAATCCTCCTGTTTAAATGCAAGTGAGGGGTGCAGCCTCAGCTTGTGAGGACCCGATCCATCTCCCAGTGCTACCCTACCCTTATAAAAAGTCTTTCATTGTCAGGCTAAGCCTGTAATTACAGTTTTTCTGTTACTTAAAACAATAAACCATATCTCATCTTTCATGGGAACAAGGATAAGAAAGGGCAAATATGAGCACATGTACATGAGATGTTTGCTGCGCATTAGCCTAATAACACTGCGTAGTAGTGTAGTAGCTATTAATCGTGCTAATAGCCTACTGCACAGTGTTATTAGGCTAATGCGCAGTAAGCGTCATTAAAAAACTGTGCGCCAGTGCACTGTGCAGTAACTCTAGGGGCTGTGCAGTCAGTTAGTACCTCTTACTAGAGGTACTAAAATAAACGCACAGTCACTAAGGCACATTAATGAACATGTAGATGCGCCCTATGAGCATTAAAATAATGCAAGAGTAATGCTTTTCAGCAGGGACCAATAACAAAAGCACTTTAAAATCATGCTAGGGCTGTCTGCATGCTACATAAGTAATTATTTTATCTCAGCTATATGGGAGAAGGACTGCCAAATCTATCTCTACACTTCTTTGCTTTCTGTTTACTGCAATCAGCCTGGGAACATGTTTTTCCCCCAAATCGATTTGCATTGTTTAATAGAAAGAACTTCATAAAATTTACATATTTTTATGGCCAGAAAATGCTGACCTGCGGCATCACAAAAGCCGTAGCGTTTCATCCCAGAATTCCTGTGTGAAGTCCAACCGCTTGGGACTCAACTGGGACACATCTGTCCTTCTACAGCAGCCAAGATCTAGTCATCAACGTTTTGTCAAAATTGGACTGTTTTGTCTCTGCTGCACTGAGTCCCTTTTAGGAAATATTTCTGAACAGGCCATTTTTCAGAGTTTTGCTCCACCCTCATTTCATCCTTGTGAAGGATACCTTGGAGCAGTGAGTATTTACAATAATTTCAGTTTTGTTGTACGAAATCCACCATCAGGATAGCATGTTGCTGAGAAGCGGGCTACACACTGTGGAATAGAAATTGTAAGTGGCTGCTTTAATCACACGTCTGGTTTTCAAAGTGCTTTACTAACATCTAAGTCATGAAGGTTCACGTCCTCCCCTGTTACATGGTGTTGTAACTACATTTCACAGGATGGTAAACTGAGGTAACGAGAGGCAAAGTACGTATTTACTTACATAACACGCACATGTTTCCCAAAAAAGAACTGCAAAATTGCGGGGGAGGGGGAGTGTCATAAGTGGGGAAGCTGATGCTTCTTCATTGGAATAAATGCATGGAGACCTTGTGCTATAAGGGCTGGCAAAAGGCTGCTGCCTCTTGTGGGGACAAGCAAGCAGCAGGGGTGAAGTCCAGTGTTAACCCTCTCATGGTTGCTGCTGAACTGACAGTGTCTTTTGGGCAGCTGAAAGCTTCTGCCAATCCAGCACTGGCCACGAAAGGGTTAACATTGTAGGTGTTGTATAAAGATCCCTGGAGTTGGCTGAGGGGGAGCGAGCTGCTGCATGCACAGATTCATAGACATTTTGGGCTGGAAGGGGCCTTGTGAGAGCATCGGGTCCAGCCCCCCTGCTCTGGGCAGGAAAGACAGCTGGGGCCAAATAATCCTGGGAAGGTGTGCATCCAGTCTCCTTTTGAAGATCTCTGGGGAAGAGACCCCCGCTGGGAGTCTATCCCAGAGTCTAGCCACATGAGCCATAAAGAAGTTTTTCCTTATATCCAGTCTGAAACTTTCTTCCTAGGAGTTTATGACCATTACTCCTGGTTTTCCCCTGGGACACTTTGCTGAATAGGTGTTCACCTCGCCCCTGATGCTCTCCCCTGATACATTTGTAAGCTGCCACCAAAGCCCCACAAAGTCTTCTCTTTTCTAGGCTGAACAGTCCCGTATCTGTCAGCCTTTCCTCGTGCGGCTTGCTCTTCAGGCCTCTGATCATATGGGTGGCTTTTCTCTGGATGCTCTCAAGCTTCTCCATGTCTTTCTTGAAGTGCGGCGCCCAGAACTGGATGCAGAGCTCCAACAGATCTCTCTGCCAATACTCTGGAAAAATCTTTCTTTCTACATTCTGCCTGTCAAAAACAAGGCGCGTGTCTTATTTGTCAGCTTGTGGTACGTGAGAAAATTTGGTAACTGGATCAGGGGGAGGCCACTAGTTTGACAGTCAGTCGCACAGTTGGTTCTGCCACTGAGCTATTGTGTGACCTTGGGCAAGTCACCCAGGGTCTCTCTGAGTCTCTTGCTGCTCATCTACAAAGCACGGATGGTATTCCTCACCTCTTGTCACATGCAAGCCCTTGTCTTTTCTATGCTTGTTCAGCAACAAGTATAACGCAGCCCAAAAAGAGTGCTACCTGAATACAAATATTTTCTACTGATAAAGAATTGGTGCAAATGTTGGGATTACAGTCTAGGATGTCCTGGTCTCCTCGGTGGCCATTACACTCTGCGTTGCTCACCTTTGAGGAACAAGGAAACAGCTCCGTCTTACACCTGGCATTGTTCTGCATGAAAAGCAAAAGTTATATTCATGCTTTCAGAAAAATTTCCTTCTAGGTCCTGCACCTTATTTGGCCACAGCGGGTAGGTCAGCAAAACCCTGCTGCTCCCAGGACCTCAATCAAAACCTCTCATTCAATTAAGGAAAAAGATCACCGAACGTTTCAGTGGCTGTGAAGTTTTCAACCAGGCGCTGTTATTTTTGAGGGAGCCGCTAGACAAATGCGGCAGGTTGTTGTGAGCCTTTTCTCTTGCTTTCAGGAGAAAAAAAAGGATGTAGCCTTGCTTTTGTCTCCTTGCTTCTCCCTTTATTTCCTCCCCTTTTGCCATTTTTGCAAAGACTGTCCTACTGTACTAATGATGTTAAGCTCTCTTGGGGTTTTTACTGGCTTTTTTTTTTTTAAAGCAAAAAGAGTGATAAATGAGTAGGGAGGCTCTAGGACAATCAGTATAAACAACCCCCGATGTTGAGAGACTGAAGGAAAGGGCCCGTTTCTCAGAGCCAGCCGCCCGTGAGAATCACCATCATAGCACGGCCAGTCAGGTTTCAGCAGGGGCTGGATGCTGCCAGGCCCAGAGGTGCAAAAGAATCAGGACCTAGATACTTGCATGGATTTGTGTGGTTAGCACAGGTTTCCCTTCAATCGGTAGGCGCGTTGTTAAACGGCTTTGCATTGCCAGATAACTCCCGCAGCAACCCAGTTCCAAACTTCAGTCTGCATCAAGGTGGGATCGCCCTGGCTAATTTACCCTGGTGTACGTCATTCCTACTAGAAATTAAGAGCCAAGGAATGGCTGTAATCCACGGGCTTCCCCTTCCTGCTAGGAATCGCAGAGCCTAGAGGCAGGCACAACATTAGGAACAGAGGCATAGGTGCCCGCTTTGGTTTTTCCCAGCGGGTGCTTTTTCTTTTTATGGGGCCCTTGCTGAGCCCCACGCGTGCCCAGAAGAGGCGGTGCGTTGCTGCAACCCGGCTCGTCTGACGTCTGTAAAGATCGCACACTTTAGTGGAGCTTTTTTGACACTTTTATCTCATTGCTGTTTGATTCAGCTTTAGCTAAAAGCGCCAAAATGCCCCGCTGAAGCACCTGATCTTTTCAGAAGCTGCACAGCTGGCTTGAAACAACACACTGCTTCTTTTGGTGAAGGGCTTTTTTTATCTTCTTAATGTCTGCAAGTAGCCACAGAGATCTAACGTGTACAACCAAAACGGCCGTGGCTTGTGGGTGCTGAGCACTCACTTGTTTTTTGGGGTGGGTGCTTGAGCCCCGGAGCACCCACGGAGTTGGCGCCTATGCATGGAGGCCAAATGACCCCCTCTTCCCTCTCCCATAGAGGGTAGCTCTATCTATTATCCCTTTGGGGAGGCTAGATCAAAGCCAAGGTGTGGTTCTTGAAGAGCAATAAAACTCAACTGTCAGATCAAGGAGAGATGCCCATTTGAAAGGAAAAGGCTGAAGACAACCTTCCACCGGACCTTTTCTGATTCAACTAGGGGCCTGGTAGCGGTTGCAGCAGCTGGCCTCAGCTGCCATAGCATCACCCAAAGAGGGAAGTGGTTTCCATGGCACCGGGATCCAAACTATCTAGGGCTTTGAGTACATGATTATATCTCCAGAATAAATGTTTAGTATAGTCAGAGACATGACAGACTAGAAGGGCCAAAATCATGCTTCCACTAATAGCCGTTACAAAATTCCCATTGTTTTTAGTGGGGTCAGGACTGGAGCCAACATATAGACTGTGATCAGAAACTCAGCACATCGCTAACTTTCCTCCTATCTGCCTATCTGTGTAAATACGTTATTCGAAATAAATCTGTCGGGGGAATGAGACAAAGGATGGTTAAGCATATCCACGCTTCTCGGGAGTGTACAAGGGCTGCATCAGTGAACTGGGGCCAGAACCCCCCCCCTCCCGGATAGATGCAGTGCTTGGGTCTGTAATAGCAATGCCCAAAAAAATAGCTCTAATATTAATAGAGATCCCTCTGTTTATTTCTTTTACTTTCTACTGCTTCATCTCCCTCAGTGAAAGACCAAGGACCCGCTGATCTTTTATCAGTTCATCTGCCGACAAAGAAGAAGGAAGCACGGGAGCTAAACTTCCTGGAAGAGACTCCAAACAGCCCTAAAGTATCTCCAAATACGGTGACTTTTCCCTTGTTTAATAAGCCAGACGCAGGGCCAAATACTCAGCTGGTCCAAGCCCATCCATCTTCACTTATTTTCAGTGTGGGTCTGCCCATTTTGGGGGGGCAATACGGACACATTTATTCCTCATTTGCTAACATTCCTGGGGTGTTCCTGAAAGCCTCTGCTCCCGCAGGTGTGTGACCGTGCAAGAATCTCAGTTTTAATTTTAATTTTTTAAAAAATAACGTCTCACTCTCATAGCTGCAGGAGAATTTTCAAATGTGACCAGGAGCTCAGAAAGCAGAAGATACAGAAAAAAGACCCCAACCCCACCCTGATTGTTTTGTTTAAATCTCATATGTCTTGATGGGCTGGTGCTAGTGCTGCATAGGTCAGTAGAAGATGTCCCCCAGGCCCAGACTCTTAAATTTTGGCATTTGGTGATGAATAATGGTGGGATCCTGCAGGTCTCTTTCTTTGTCACCTGCTACCTGGGGCACTGGATGCAGCAGCAAGGTAAAACTCCTCTCTAATATGCAGGCAGAGGAGGCAGAGGTTTACCCTGCTATCATCCTGTGCTACAACATAGTCCCAGTGAAATGTGGTTGGCCAGCCTATGGGTTTGGCTTTTACCATTGAAGTGAAAAAGGGCCATGTGTTTGGAAAAAGAAAAGCAGCAATTAAACTGTAGCACAAATGAGTCTCGGAGACCTTACAGTGCAGGCAAATCTCACGTGCATCACTACAACTCCACCGATTCCCAACATTTCACTAGTGTTAAATGATCAGAAAAAGCAGATTTTGCTTCATTAGAAATTGCAAAATGTTCCTCCCTGCTGCATGTCTATTTAGACTTCTCTGAGTCTATTTTGCCACTAGAAGATTTGCTGTCTTCATTTTGTCCCCTTGTAAACAAAAGAGACTTGCTCTTCAAGGTCTATCTTTTGCAGGGTTTTTTTTTATGTTGTTGCTAGCTAATCCAATAATGGGGACTGCTTACATAAGAGGTAAGTTTGATCCAACAACGCCTTCATTTTAAGTTCTTTATTTCATAAGCAAATTTACAAGTTTGTTTTTTGCTGCTGTATCTGGACACCTCTCATATGTTAGCAATTTTCCCATGCTAGACCTCTTTGAAGCAGGAACATGCTGATCCCATTTATCTGATAGGGAAGTGAGGTGTAAAGAGGATTAGCTTGATCTTTCAGGAGAGTTCGGTATCCCTACTACCTGTGGAGGAGGTAACTAAGGGGATGAAAACCAGAGCATGACTGAACTCAAAGGATGTCTCTGGGGCGAGGACCCTAGGGACTCTGGAGTCATGGAGCGTGTCTACACTGCAGTCAGGAGGGACAAGTGCAACATGCTGCCCGTCATCAACGGTAGGAAGCCACAGCTGCACAGGCTTTAGCAAGGGCCATAAAAGTCGACCCTGGACCTTGGGGACTTATTAGACTGGCCAGTTTACAATACAGTGCATCTTCACTCTCATTGCTACCCAACCTAGCAAGATTAAAGCTACTTTGGGTACGTCTGTCTATGATACTGACCCCCTCTCCTCCAATTATCATGGAGACATAGCCTTAGACCAGTGCCACAAACACAGGTCCAGCCAGCTTTCTGCTGCACCACCCACTTTGAGTGTGGGAAAACGGGGGCAGGATTGCCTAATATCAAGTGAATTCAACTGAGCACTGTATTAATCATGTGTAAGCTCAGTGTAAGCAAAGGCAGCCACCAAACTTGAATGATGAAGTGCTGTGCTGCTGCGTGGCTCTGAGACGGGGCTCCTTCGGCTGGGTCAGCTGGTTTGCTCAAGATAAGTCAGACTATTGCAGCAGTAAATCATGAACCAAATGCTCTCAGCAGCAGTTTATGAATCATTCTGGTTTCCTACACTGTTTGCTTACAGTATCTGAAGCTGTCAACTTCATAAAACCCCTAATCCATGGGAAAGATATAGGGCCAGCTTCCAGGCAGCATGTCATTGACTCCATTGTAGCTTTCCAGATTTACACCAGCTGTGTCAGGCTTATAGACAGAGGGAAAGGACACAAGGGGAGTGCAGCACATGTCTGCATGTGATGGGCAGGTAAGCCGCAGCAGGGATGCTGACAACTTAAGCTGAGGCTGCAGCCTGCCCCAACGAAAGCTCATATGTTAAGTACTGTGGAAATGTGAGAAAGCAAGCCCAGAGCCAGGCGTTACAAAATTCTTCCTGCAAACGAAACCCAAAACAGCAGGGGCCTCTACCATGGGAAGAGATGCTTCTCCAGATTGCTAGCACTTCTCCCTTCCACTTCACAGCCTTACCCTCTACAGCTGCATCTTCTACCCTAGGGGCATCATACATCTCATGCATGGGTCAGATCTGGCCCACAGAGCCTTTTCCTTCACCTATAGGGCTCCTGGTAGGTCTGAAAATTGGGGGTAGGGCAAGACCTGCTGCAGAATTCATGGCTACAGGGCCCCATGGGGTACGGCCTTCAATGGCAATGGGGCAAGCAAAGGTTGTGCCAACACAGCGCCACTTGCCCCCTGCCACTGCTACTCAACTCACTGGTGCTGCCACTTGCCTTGTCCCTGCCGGGTCCAAATCCAGACCTGGCCTTCAAGGTCCAGATCCAGCTGGGGGGAGGAGGAGTTTGACACCCCCATTCTTCAGTAATTATATGGAACATGAGGGGTCTCCTTAGTCACAGCCAAACTCAAAGATTTTCAGTGGCAACAACAAAATGAAGTATGGAAATGCCTTTGGTGAGCTCAGATAAATCACTTTAGATGAGTAAGATGTTGACATTCATAACATCACTGTCCTTACACTGGGGTTGAGCATTGCAAATCTGTTTACAGCAGTTCCAGCAATTCCTTAGCTTTGGCAAGAGAGAAAACCTCTGAACAATCACTACATATTAATCCAAAGCAACCACGCTGTGTAAGCATGCTTTGGAAGAGGCGATGAGAGGGGGGAGCTGAAGCAGCTTCCACTTTCTGCAGGCTCGACTGCAAACAAAATTTACAGCTAGTAAAGAAAATCCATAGATGTTTATCAATGCTAACACATTTCTGACATTGTTACACTAAACATTTCCTGCCCTCATAAATAAAGGGGGAGGCAGTAATTCTGGAGCGAACATCTCATTATCTTCAATCGTGTTTCAGCTTATCAGCAATCTATTAATTTACTTTGAAATAAAATTAAACAATGCATGTTGGGGAAGGCCTGATTGAACGCTAAAGCCTTAGCAGCCAGCAGATGTGAACATATAGGGGGTTTAGGCTGGCGGTTCCCAAAGAAGGGCTTTCAGCTCTGCTTTTTGGTATGACAGAGAGTTTGGTGAAGCCCAGTGACTTCTGCAAGGCTGTGTCTAGAAGGGTTGGACTTGTTCTGGTATTTCTAGCGGTGCAGTGAGGAGCTCTTTAGGGGTGCAGCTGGGGACAGGAAAGGCACCTTGGGACTAAGCCAGAGCCTTCAGCTTCTTGGAGATTTGGGTAGTGCTGTGAAACCACGGGTGCCTAGAGAGGCTGTATAACTTAGCTCCTCCGGTTGGTCCATGCTATACCTGGAAGCTCCTTAGCTCCTGGAACAAGCCAGCATAGGGCATGGCTTAAAGTCACTGTGGCCCCCA